TATTTATACTATTATATACTACTTATTAAGTACTATTAATACTAATATTATATGACAAATAAGATTAAGTAGGATAAATATTAAGTATAATAAGTGTAATTAAGTATTTCAAATGCAAAGTGGCTTTATATTTTGTATTAAAATACTTCAGTGTCATTTATTTTTGTAGATTTTAAAAAATGCTAATTACTTTGTGAGAGGTCTACATGATGATGACATCATAAAAATGCGGCCTCTGATTGGTCCTTTCTAAGAGATTTTCCTACAGTAGGCTTTAGATCAAAATATTTATTCAATTCTTTTCCTTCAGCCTAGTCCCTTAATTACTAAACAAGTACAATTATGGACCTTTCAAGTGCAAATACCTTTTGAAAAGGTACCAACCCCAGTGACAGATCACATAAACTTTTATTTTGAGACAGTGTATGCTGGAATAGTTGGCGGTTCATTCCGATGTGCCGACCCCTGATAAATAAGGGACCACGCTGAAGGAAAATGAATAAATGAATGAATAAAATACATGTATTTTTGCCCAATCTGTCCTGCTAATAAACCAATTCCAAATTAGCAGTCTAATAAAACTAAAATGGCGGTGACACTGAAAAAGTAACCGGTACCTCCCTGACAAATCCTGTGTTAAATGGCGTGATGGGAATCTAACAGTCATGTGAGTCACGTGAGGATGAAGCACACGTCTGTGTTGATACACCACTATTTATTCATCTTTTATAACAGCCAGCTATTTGATCCACTAGCACACACACAGCCTCGAGTCTTTGTTTCCATTCATAGATACTTACCTCTAGAAATATTTAACCATTGTTCCCTGCAGTCACACCCAGACACAAGCGCTCCGGTCAGTCAGTCTGCATTCCCACACACACATCCATAGTTACAGTACATATATAGGACAGAAATGCACTGCATGTGTATCAGAAACAGAACAAAATCAGAAAACAAACATGAGCACTGTCTGTCCATCACAGGAGAGCAAATAAACTTGACTGCGAGCTAGTCGTGTGGGAACAAGCGTGTTTTCAAATTGATTTGGCACAGAGGTTTACTGTTTCATTCTGAAGAGGGGCAGAAAAGACGTCACTGATATTCCAGCCAGAGGATCGTCGTGCTGGTTGTTTGTTTTTGTGCTTGTAATGTTTAAGATGTATTGTTTGCGTGTACTTTGCGCGTACTGAGAATTTTCCTCTGGGAGATCAAATACTACACCACTGCCTTCTGTTTTGACCCCTCAAAATTTATCCTGATACTCTGAGATATTTATTACAGTGTTGTTCACTAGGGGGCAGCAAAAATGAGAAAGCTGTATTGTGGGGTCTGTCTGTCTGTCTGTCTGTCTGTCTGTCTGTCTGTCTGTCTATCTATCTATCTATCTATCTATCTATCTATCTATCTATCTATCTATCTATCTATCTCCCCATAAAGGATGTTATAGAATATTATACATTAAGATATTTGTGTATATACATTATATTAGACCGTACCATTGCCAAAACTGTACATAATCTAAAACCATAACTTAAGATCACCGTGAAAAAATTGTGTATAATAATAATAATAATAATAATAATAATAATAATATTATTATTATTATTATTATTAATAATAATAATAATAATGATAATCCATCTATCTATCTATCTATCTATCTATCTATCTATCTATCTATCTATCTATCTATCTATCTATCTATCTATCTATCTATCTATCTATCATCTATCTATCTATCTATCTATCTATCTATCTATCTATCTATCTATCTATCTATCTATCTATCTATCTATCTATCTGTCTGTCTGTCTGTCTATCTAAGGATGTTTTAGGATATTATACGCAATAAGATATTTGTTTATAGACATATTAGTTGGGACCAAAGCCTAAACAGGAACTTATCTAACACATTAACTTAAAAATTATGGTGAAAATAATGTACACCCCGATAAATATGTTATGAAAAATTAAAAAAATAAATACATAAAACTGTTATAAACTAAGAGGAAAATCAAGAGAACCATAAAAATACTCAATATAGTTGCAATCTTGTAGTTTGTATGTTTTTCCAAAACCTTGTTTGAATTTAATTGGTTTATCCTTCTATTACTATGTTAGGTGAACACATTTTAATGAGTATATGATAATATTTACAATATATAATATCATAATGTAAAATATAATAATATATAATATCAATTGTTTGAATGCTTGTTAAATCTCTCCAAGGAATGAACATCAGTAATTAGGTTATTGCGTCATCCCATTTTTTTTATTTCTAATTTAATTTATCCAGCAATCATGACCTCATACTCATATTTATTACAGCAGTGTATCATGTGATAATCTTTTTTTTTAATCTCAGCTATTGTTTTGGAAAACAAACATGCTATCGTATGATTTGGGAAAATCACAGCAGCCTTACAGGCAGTTTAAAGCGGATTGATTGGCGGTGACGTGTAGCAACTCATGTACACTAATTGGCACATATACAGTGGATGAGAAATCAGAAGAGGAGACTCGTTGCTCTCATCTGTGATTTTGGCTCCAGTTCACAGGTTGTCACATGATTTTTCACAATTATGTAAATGTTGGCGCTTGCCAACATGGTTTAAACCCAGGCACGTACATCTTACTGGGTGCTGAGAATTACTCTGAATTCAGCTATCTGTGGTTCATTAAACTGTAGGTTGGTTGGATTTTTTGCAGCTGTAAACTTTTAGACATTTAATAATAATGTAATAAATGTCCAACACTGACCTGAATAAGTGACATGCATTGCCTAACTGGGGCCGAAAGACATTCCTAAGGAGAAAAACAAAAGATAGTAGAGAAATATAGATCAGCTTTAAAAGCAAATCTTACTTACCATATATATATGCCATTTACATATAATTTTATATGAAGAGTTTAGATGCAAAAACCTCTAAATGCCATCTGAAATTTTCCTCTAAAATTAGTATTTTTATCAAGCTCCTGTGTGTATGTTCTGTAATATCACTTTTATGGCAAATAATAAGTCCTTTCTCTGGTCTTTAAAGTAAAATATCTCAACATAAACAAAGAAGGCTGAGAACATTTTTCAGTTTCGATGGAAATTTTAGACAGCACTTAGAGGTTTCTGCATCTGAACTCTACATATATATTATGTTGAGATATATATATAATTCTCTTTTGGGTGCGTGGATATATTGTCATTTTTATTTTGTCTATTCCAATTAACTGAACATATGAATTTGATTGTTAAATAAATAAATAAATAAATAAATAAATAAATAATAACAATAATAATAATAATAATAATAATAATAATAATAATAATAATAATAATGATGATGATGATGATAATAATAATAATAATAATAATAATAATAATAATGATGATAATAATAATAATAATAATGATGATAATAATAATAAAAATAATAATAATGATAATAATAATAATAATAATAATAATAATAATAATCCGAGGCTCAAACCAGCGACCTTCTTGCTGTGAGACGACACCACTACCTACTGCGCCACCGCATCGCCTATTATTGTTATTATTATTATTATTATTATTATTATTATTATTATTATTATTATTATTAATATGTTACTTATTAGCATTATTTGTGTTATTTAATATTTATGTTATTATTATTATTAGTATCTACCACTACTACTACTACTACTACTAATAATAATAATAATAATAATAATAATAATAATAATAATAATAATAATAATAAATAAATAATAATAATAATAAATAAATATATTTACAAATAAAAACTAAAAAACAATTCTAGATTTTATGTAAAGTGTATAAGAAATACTTTTAAGTCATTGTTATTTTTAAGCCACTTGTTAATTAAACTAACATTAATTGCAGGGATGTTAGTTAAACATAAACGTTATCTTACAAATAATTGTGAGGGTTCTTACAAAAGACTGATTTTTCAAGGAAAAGTGGAAAACACCACATAGAGTTCAGAGTTTGTTTGTCACATGCTCAACTGCCTCTAAAACTGCACCATGACTGTGCACAAGAGATCAAAGACAAAAACGACCAAGTGGATACATGATTCATAATAATAAAGTTCATTGAAACAAAGCTTCACTATCTTCACAATAAATGCATATTAGATAACCTATTAAACACTTGCTTGTACACTAAATTTAGGCCTTTTGTATAATTCAATATGACTGTGCAGATGATATCACAACTTCTTTTGCAACAAAAGTGCCAAATGGTTTGTTTTCTGTGACACAATTGTAAAAACAAAGTCTATTTTAAAGAATTATCACTAAAATGCACATGATTACTTGCGTTCGAGGGTGAGGGCGTCTTGCCCTCCTGAAATTCTGGGGAAATCAACCGGTCTCCATAGCATCTTATCCTGCTTGCACACTCGAGCCAACGACTAGAGATAAACACATGAGAAATGTAAGTGCATTGGGTGAAAATGCCTTCAAATTACACATAAAAATAAATATATTTTGCTGTTTGTTTGATCTACTAATTGAAAACGAGCTGAATCGACACAATTCTTAAGTTTTTTTTTTTTTTTTTTTTTGGATAACGTAATAGTTTTATGTTCAATCCTCTTAAATTTGTATAAAAAAAAAAAAATAGGTTGCATAAAGGAATTGTGTATAACCACACATTTTTTTTACAGCTACAATTACTTTTTTGATCACAAACTTGTGTATGCCACCTATTAAAGACACCTATGCTCATCTAAATAAGTTATATCCATAACCAATTTACAAGCTGCCCTAAAAATTCTAAGATAAAGGAGTAACTCTATATTTGGCACCAATCAAGTTCGCCCATATACAGTGACTCACTGGATGATTCGGAGGCTTTAAGGCATCCGACACACCTTTGATGGAACTGAAGTCCCGCCCAGTCCATATTTAAACGAGTCAATGTCAGATGAACCTCAGACTTCACGAGAGCTTGATCTTGGCGAGCGCGTGCGTGCGCACCAGTGGAAAATATCTCCAGACCAGTATTGCGCGTGGCACTAAACCTGAGATAAAGGTCAGTAAACTTTATATATACATATGATGCACATGAATATAAACATAACTTTCAATGCTTTTAAATCAAATTCAAGGAAAAGCTGTAGAGCTAATTAGTTGGCAACTAATTAGAGTTTACGCATTAATGCGCTCTTCAGTTTGAGTGCATAATATTAAGTACTTAAAATAACAAAACGCGTTTAAAAGTTAGCATGTGATTATACAAATATGTTGAGGCTTGCGTAATGGTATCAATTTCTTTGGCAAAACAAAAAAAATGCATTAATTAATGTTTCTCCTTTTTTACTTGTTTTAGTTACTCTTCAAACAGCACAATACCCTGGAGTTGGACTTTTGCTCCAACTTGGAGGTTTAGCTGGAAATTGAATATTGTCCAGGTGCATTGGAAGCCCCCTCCAGAGCAAGGGGGCGTGAGAATATCATTCCATTATCCCACAATGAGAGCGCTTTTCCCGGTTTTTGTGTATTGCATCAGCCTGCTCTCCACACAACTGCTGGCTCTACCGGTGGGAAACAGGTAAGAATCGGTCTCATATTTGTTACTCAGTCTATTTAATTTGTGTTTTTGATTGTTTAATATTGGCCTAGTGTGTCTGTATATGTGCAAACTTTTGCGCTGAAGTAAGCCAATCTAATTTGAAGAATGAATGAACGGCTGCACTGCCTATTAAATGAACAGTTCATTTGAGTCGAATCTTTTGCCTATTTGAACTGTACCAATATTCAAACAAACTAAAGACAGCAAATCATTGTTTTTAATGGTCTGAAATTTTAAGCGACTTTATTGAATAGCCACCAAATACAGATACAATGATGTCCTGGACAAAGTAAATTGATTTGGATAAATATAGTTTTATTAAAGGGTGCATTAAACCATGATAACGATTCCTTATTATGTTTCTTTAAACTGATTTGGACACATGAAATCACAATACAGAATACAGATAATCATATATATAAGCAACATGTGGCTTTAACGAAACTTTAATGCTGCGTCGGTGAATCTTTACAACTGATAGTTCAAAAGAATCGACTCGCGTAAAAGAGTCGGATGAACAATTTCAATCTTTGTTCCTTGAAAAAGTTAAACGCACCTGCTGAATCGCGGACCTGTAGCATCTACCAGCATTTATTATAACTAGGCTGGCACCAGGGATGTGTTATATACAAAATAAAGTTTGTTACACAAAGGGAGGATGTTGTGTCGCGAGAGATTGTAGTTGCAATGAGCAAGGTCAGTTATGATGGTAGACGTGACTGTATAAACGCACGCATCCCACCATTCACCCGCCTGCTGCGAGAAAACCAACTTTTACAGTACCAGTTTATGATCAGTATGTGTGTTTCACTGTGTATAGCCTATTAAAAAATGCTTAATAGATACTTAGATCATATGCATTTTTATTTACAATGATTGTGAATATTTGAATGCAATTTGAATGGGTCACATGATCAGAGCTTATTAATTACAGTGAAAGATGAGCCAAAGCTCCACCAATAAAAGCAAGTTAAAACGTGAATAAATATGTGTGTTTATATATTTGACATTCTTTGAGATTATGTTCACAATAGAAATGTCAACGTCGTGATGAGTGGGGGAAAAGCCTCATTGTGAGGATTAAATTAAAATGAGTCACATTGTTTAAAAAAAGGGCAGATTTCCAAGTATTATTATATTAAAAGTGAATGTGAATTTATTGAGATTTCATTTAATACCCCCACAAATGCCTAATAATGAGAAAAACATTAATAATGAGATTTCCATTTGTAATATTTCATCAATCACAAATGTGACCAGGGATAACTTTTATTATTAAATGATCTGCAGTTTCTTTTTTGAAGAGTAAATTCAAGGTAAAATAAAAAAGACCTCTGATATATAATATAAGTCACTTTTTAAAAGTAACTAAATGTGTGAATGCATGTGTTGTGTTATTTTTGCATTTTTATTAAGTAAGATAGGCTTAAAATTGTAATATATAACTTTTTTACCCAACACTAATCCCTTTTTAAAGTGTCAGACTATTTTAGCACGTCTGTTTTCAAAAATTACTGTAATTATCAAAATATTAAATATTTGGCGCATCATTAAGTCTATAAAATCTACATTTATAGTCTGTATAGAATTTAGAAGACACACTGGAGTCTGGAAGAGCAGATTTAATTTACTGTATGTCATTATGCTAGTTATAAAAGCTAGAAAAAACAAATATAATAAAGGTGTATTGAAAAAAAAGTGATTGGTCTGCTTTTATTTTTTAAATAGTGAGTACAATTAGCATAATTATAAAAATTCTGTCAACTTGACAGTTTCAAGTTACATTGGGTTTACTTTATAAATGCGTTTTACATTATTATTGTAGATTCAACCTGTTGCTTTTAAGGCAATTGGTTTACTCGCTTTTGAGTAACTTTTTACAGTGTGTACACTCCAAAAAATTATGTTTGATGTTTGTTCAATCTACTTATCAAAAGTGAGCTGAAACAGCACAATTTTTGAGTTTAATTTGGGACAACTTAATTTTTTTATGTTCAATCCACAACTACTGTTAACTTATTTGCTTCATGTTATTTCCTTTTACATAAGGCAAGCACTGAAAGTCATTGCATCATGCAATTTTAGCATTTAACACCACAAAACAAGCCATTAGTCACTTTCCAGAAGACACCGGGGCTCATCGTGTGATTAAAAGAAGACTTTTTATTGCGAATGTCATCCCTTCAGAAAGGATGGAAATTACTGTACAATGTTTTACTTTTCTTAGCACCAATGATAAACACTTGCGTCATTTCTGAGTCAAGGTTAGGCAAAGAGTGAATACGGCTGATAAAAGTGCACATTTCTCTGATAGTTTTAATAGCAGATTAAAAGTCTACACTTTATTCCAAAATGCTGATTTGATTGGCAGCAAATCTCTGAAATAGGATACTCAGGCAGTTGCTGTTGAAAGCCGCAGTTTAACGTAGTAAAGCAACGACATGCTTTGTCAAGTCCTTATTGCTGGCTGATGACTGATGACGGTACTCAGAAGGAATGATTTTGTTGAGGATGAGTGTTTTTCTGCCCTCTTCTGGTTGACACTTGCTTTGCCCAGTTTGTGTCTTGCTGAATCGTCCATTTCTCTTCATCTTTGTCGATCTGAGGATTGAGGAATATATATAAACTGATAATAATACAGGCTTTGAGTAAATTGAATTAATCTAGCTGCTTTTATAGTGTTTAATAATGCTCTTTCCCACCCACACTGTAAAAAAATCTTGTCGCCTTACATTTTTAAGTTGAATCATAGTAACTTTTCTAGTCATGTCAACTTAGATCAATCAAGCTGGCTAAAAATATTAAGTTAAACTTTGCAGTTGAAACTCGATTAACATGTTAAAATAAGTTAAAGCAACATCAAAATATTTGTCGCTGTGACTTTTTGTCGTTACATTTTTTAAAGTGCAACAATGTCACGTGAAAAATCGAAATGTCAAGGCAAGGACTGTATTTGTCCTTGGCGTACAGTATTTACAGTACAATTGATACCGGTCTTTGCTATATTTGGTGAGGTCATTAGACTGATATTGAGTCACAGACATCTGACTGGTTGATTTACAGTCACAATGCCACAATAAACAACTGATAAACTTGCAGTTTCTGATTACAGTAATAATGTCAGGTGCCTTTAAAGAGACAGTTCAACAAAAAATGAGAAATTCATAATTGTTTACTTACCAAGATGGCTATTAGGATGCAATCAAACTAGGGATGGTTCAAATCTCCCAAAATGTTGATGGAAGCGTCTATATCTTAATTTTGAGCATTCAATATCTCTCCGTTGCGTCCTGCTTTGTCACGGAGAACTCCGTGTTCTTTACATGGACTCACTTAATGTTCGATAACCATTCGTTTGTGTACACAGAACGTACAGAAGCTTTTGTGACACCTTCAGAGATTTTTATAGTTTGACACGCTGTCCCAGAATCGATTATGGCGGTTAGTGGGGCCTATTTTGCTGGTTTAAATGTAATTTCGGAAGCAATTGGGTCTCTGAGAATAGCTAGCCTAGGTTTCTTCCTTACATAATATGCTGAGGTTTAGTTTGTGAAGAAAAAATGCAGAGACAGGAGCCAAGCGACAAGTCAAATGTACTGTAGGTTTAAAACAACAGCTGGAAATTGGATCGTCCCACTGTGGCATAGATTTGCGGTTCGCTCTTAAAAATAAAGTGGCTTTCACAGCAATGGTTTAGAAAGGCCATTTCAGGTGCCCAAAAGAACATGTAATCAGCATTTGGTTACAAATATATATATATATATATTTTTGGATTATGAAGCACATTTTAAATGTTTGTAAAGCACGTTTCCATTATATAGAAGTTTAATGGTTCTTAATTGGACTATCAAGTCCAATATTCCATGACATTAATGATGAATTGTATGGCGGATTTCTGTATTGACTGTATCTTGGACTGTTTATCCTCCATAATCATTAATAAAGAGGAATTAACGAAGTCCACGTTACTCTATACTGTAAAAAGCCAATAGCTGGCTTCACTTTAAAAAAAGAGAGTAATCTCATTGTCTTATAATTATTAAGTAAACAAAACTATATGCATATTTATAAAAGTTAACATAAGTCAATGGGTTTGCTGGCTATTTTAAAGTAAAATCAACTTGCTGCATTTAAAGCGAGAGGGATCTGGCTGCAGATTCGTTGCAGATGCAATCTGAGCTGCATCTAGTGCTTTTTAATTGGATCACCTAACACCTAACCCGACCCCTCACAGTGACATCGGTAGCTTCATAGAGTGTGTATTGTCTGACACTGCATCTCTAAGCAATGCAATCTCAGCTTGCATCATAAAGGCTGCCTCCAGACACTATTGCTTTAAGCACTGTAGTTACTCACTTATTTAAAGTAGCCAATCATTTTTTACAATGTATTGTAGGACTTCAGATAAATAAGTCTGTTAAAAAGATGCTGTTTGGTTTTCATATTGTACTAGATATTAGTTTCCTACGGTTAGACATTTGTTCACACTCAATGGGAGTCAGGGCTGGTCGTGTTTGGACTTGAGTTATGCAGTCGTCCGTTTACAACATAAACATTAGCATTTTACACCACGTTGCTTGGTCATTATTGCTCGAGGTGAAAGGGAAAAGTCATCCGTCAGACAGAATTCCGCTTTGGATTAGTAACTAAGACCCGAATTCCTTTCTCCTCATCCTCAAGCGGCGTTTCCACTCTGACCAGAAACTATAAAAACCATAAAAACAAACACACACGAGGGGAGTGAGTGCTTTAAAAGCCCCCTAGTTAATGCTGTGATCGCTTTCACTTGATTCTGCTGCTCTTAAAACAAGTTTCCTTATTGCTATTTAAAGTTTAACAATTAAAGCAGCATTTCTCCAAGAATTAAAGAGATTGTTCACCCAAATATTGAAAACTGTCATAATTTAGTTACCCTCAACAACTGTGAACTATGCCTTTAAGTATTTTATGTTTTATACGGAGACATAGGGAATAAGGGTCAGATTCCCAAGACATCCCTCGTGAACTAATCTAACGTGGTCAATTAAACTAAAGCACTCAAGCAATTAGCTCTCTGAACAGATGCACTTGCACAATTTTATTTCTTTATATCTCCACTGTCAACACCCAGATTTTAAGCTACGAAGCATACTATTGCATGAATAGCATAGTTGTTTTATCCTTCTGATACAGGATGACTGCTAGAAATCTGAATTAATTTGGATCATTAGTATTAATATGTTAAATATATATAGATGAGAATTGTATTAGTTTAGAATAAAATGGAGTTATATAGTTTTTCAAGTACAATCAATTTAATATATATCGATTAATAAATATCGATTAATAAATATCGATTAATATATATATAAATATATATATATATAAATATATATATATACAGTGCTGAGCATTAATTATTCCTGAGCATAAGATGTTTAAAAGGTATTATGTGTCATTACATGTCATGTGTCAGTGTGGACAGACCAGGACAGAAGGTGGTATTTACGGAATAAACACCTCACGGTAACCAGAGAAGGTCATTTGGTGTGACTTATGGTCAGATTTTCCATAAAAGAACGCAGGTACAATAATTACGACTTAAATATAAACCATCTGATGACCAATTCTCAAACAGCCATGACCAGTTTCAGAGCGGTGTGAAAATCACAGCTTCAGGGGAAGAACAAACAATAACACTGGACTGATCTGAACCAGTGGAGGATAAATCACAATCAAAGATCAAATCTCATTGTTTTCCTACCCAAAAAAAAATGTTCCCACAAAGCATCACAGGGTTTTCATGGCCGTCTGCCAGTAATAAGAAGCGTGCAGGCAGTGAACATGCTGCATTATTAAAGATTAAATCAGACAGACACAAAGTCCAAATCCGAAGACTATACTGGCTTCTACATCAGGACATTGATTGCTCACTTAAAGAAGTCTCACATTTGACTTGGCACAAAACTGCGTCTTTGTTTTTTTTTTTTTGAATGCCTCTTTATTCTGCATAACATGATTACCACCTTAATCCCAACATGGGTTGAATTTCGCTGGGGCAGGTGCTAATTTTCCCGGCTGAACACTATGGTTATAGAAATACTCCAGAATCACAGATCCTATTTCATTGTGGTCTGTCGGTCAATTGTCGCCAGGTGAGGTTTTTAATTAGCACGTCTGTTCAGTTTTACAGCGATGGAAAAATTAACAGACCACTGGAAAATATGCAGTTTCTCTGGATTTACTTATTGGTTTGAGAAAATGTTAACATTTAGTTTTATTCTCTGAAGGGATAATAAGGTTTCTTCCAAATTAAAATAAAAAAATTGAAATGTAGAGCTATTAGAGCAGAATAAGAAATGTTTTTATTCTTATTTACTGTGTTTGTACATCAGGTTTATTCCAACCAAATATTGCTTTCCTCTGAGGTTAAAGTATTTGTGTTGTGTCATCTAAAAATTGTTTAATGCATTTAAAATGCTCTAAATGTCAATGTTTTTTACCTGAAGATTGGAAGAAATGTCAGATGTAGTTTACAAAATGAAATGAGAATTACGTTTGACTCAAATGCATGACTATAAAATGTAAATCCAGAGAACCTGAGAATTTGTGGTCTCTATATTTTCTTTTCATAAACTGAATGCCATACTTTATTTAGCCTGCTCGTTTAAGAACAAATAAAGTCATTTCAAAGACTCCAAGCAATCTAAATTTTGGTCTGAGTTAGTTTGATTTAGCTATATCACATATAAAAGCCTTTAGGATGACAATGTTTTTAGTCATCTGAAGAACATCCTTCTTATTTGTAATATTTAAGATTCTTCGATGAACTATAAAGAGAGTGAAGCAGTAAGCTTTTCTATTTAGGATAAGCCATGAATCAGGGTGGTCTGGCTGTCTTTTTTTTTTTTTAAAGATGCATGAAAGTGTGATAATGGAGTCTTCAAAGGGGTGAGAGGGCAAACGGATGAAGTCTACGGTCAGCTTATATCTGCCTAAGCATCTGATATTTGGATCAAGCTCAAAGAGAAACTAATGCTCAGGGGGCAAAAGCACTTAACTTTGATCATGTGAAGCTGACTTTGTTGCTGAAAACGCATAAATGTAACACATTAGAGCAGTGGCATAGCAAAACATTAATAAAAATGGGAGAGCATCACTATTCATCCTGGCAACTTTGCGCAGATAATCATAATATTTTAAAGAGGTGGTATTTTGGTTGACCACAAGCAGAAGGGAAAAATCTAGCTGGCTGCATAGTTTGCACACTGAGACAAGTGAACTTTCTGAAAAAGGAAGATATTAAAAAGGTAATTCATGCTACAAAGGCATATTAAGAGTATATTTGATTTACATTAAGAACAGAAATGCATTCAATACACAATGTTTATCAAAAAATGCCTAAATCTTAAGATTTTAATAATGAAAACAAACTGCAAGGGTAGCTAAGATTTCTGGAAAGTTGAGATTTTAAGCTTTCAAAACACAAAAAAGTGCGTGCAAAGACATGTCGGTTAAATTTAGTGTTACTCAGCATGCTTTTTTTAACTGAGTTTAACATGACACTGTGAGATTAGATGGTGTGGTCCAACCTAACAATACCCTGTCATTTCTCCAATTTCAGCTCGAGTTTTTGTGCAGATTGGCTGTTCTTTTATGCTTATGCACCTATTTTTAAAGATTATAAGAAAAAACATATAAAATCGCAGGATCTTTATGTATCGTGTGGATTTTCACCTTACTACCTGTAAACTGCTGCTTTCTAATCCTTAGAGCAAGAGCTGAATTAGTGGCCTGTGCAAAAGCCAATGTCCAGTGTTATAATCAAACAGAGAGCAGATGGTCTCGCCATTACAGCAAAACCAGAGTAAATTGACTGTGTTTGCCGTACGCTAAGTCCTAAAGAGTCATACCCTTTTTGAACAGCGAGCAGCTTTTTCTGAAGTGTTTTTGCTGTAAATATTTGCACGGATGGCCAAACTGCACATTTAGTTTCTGCAGTAAATGATCCTTCTTCACAATAAAGAAAACAGTCAATTAAAAAACAGTGCCATGTTTTTCCTACATGTTTATGTTTATTTTTGGACAACATGTTGATGTTGATATTTTAACTTCAGAAGAGCAAATAAATCAGTATTTGGTTGAGTAACCCTAATATTGACAGTAAGAAAATTAAACAAATTGTCATTTTCTTTAAAATTACAATATTTTAATTTGAGATTTGAACTAAAGGTTATCAAACTTTTATAGAATAAAACAATAATTAACATTTTACTTTAACCTCATATCTAACAAGTAAATCCAGAGTGAACCCAGAGTAAATTCAAAGTGAGGATTTCTTGTAATCTCTGTCAAATCACAAATGTTAATAATAATAATAATAATAATAATAATAATAATAATAATAATAATAATAATAATAACAATAATAATAATTAAGGACAAAAGAAATTCCATTTCTTATTCTTTGCATATATGCTTGCGTTTCTTCTCAATGTATGTCTCTAATTTACCTTAATTTAGTAGATTTATTTTTGTTATGCAATTTTTTTATTCAGTATTTATTTAAAAAATGTAGTTAATTAATCATTATCGGCAAAATCCAATAACGCCCGACCTCTAATAGCTAAATATAACAGTCAATCAAATAATTCTCACAATCTAAAGTATATGGATATCCATGAAGAGAGAAATACAATACAGTAAATGAATGCTAAATATCTAAATGTATTCAGAATGGGCTAAACATAATCCAGATCAACTAAGTATTTCAGAATGTATTAAAATACCAATTTTCCTTGAAATGTTTACAACTCCAGTCTCTCTACGTGAAGTCACGAGAATGAGTTAAAATGCTAAAGGTCTTGGTTTCCCCTCCTACAGAATCATGCTGGTAATTTAAGTTGTAATGTAAGTTATTAGCAACTATAGTCCAACCTCATTATCAGTATCTGCAAAATCCAATATAGTCTGACCAATACAGAAAATGAATGCTAATGTCTGAATGTAATCAGAATGGGTGAAACATAACAACCAAGTATTTCAGAATGTATTAAAATACCAATTTCCTTGCAATATTTACACCTCCTATCTCTGTCTCATTACAGGTTGGACTTCATGACAAGACTCCAAGAGCTAAGAGAGAAATCCACCATCTCTCCAGACATTACTGAGCGCTCAAACACTGACCATGGTGTTTCCATTGATCGCACCACTTTATGGAGGGCCATCCTGTCCAGAGCGCCACCTGCAGACCTAACAGGGAACCAACTCCAGTCCACCGTAACACTCGAGAGCCCTAAACAGAGAGAGCGACGTCACGTGCACTCACGAGGGCACCACAGCCACCATCACCCCCAGCTAATGCGTGTGGGATGCGTCCTAGGCACATGCCAGGTACAAAACCTCAGCCATCGCCTCTACCAGCTGGTTGGGCAAAGCGGACGGGAAGACTCTCCCATCAACCCGCGCAGTCCACACAGCTACGGATGAGTCTAGAGGCTAAAACCAAGACCAAGAAAACAGCGTTACACATATCTGTCTATTAAATTGCAATAGGAACCTGCTGTAGGACTCTTCCCTCCTCCTCTCTGCGTTGGTTTTCTGGAGTGTATACTGTGCCTTTTTGGGACAGAAAGGATGTTTTGTTACTTGATGGCGGCTTCTCTGTGCCTATGAAACACTTTTTTGGTACTCTTAATTTTGGCATTATCGTCTTAAGTCTTAATAAGATAAGAGATTACTCCAGGCTCTGCCGCATTATATCCCGACTCATCTATTTAACTTCTACACCACTGATCAAACCATCTGAGCCCCTAAAGTGGATTTCAAAAAGGTGCGCGATTGGATTTCTGTCAATCTGAAGCCCTGTGTGATTCAAAAGACTTTGAACCCTCTCACCTCGTGTCTGCAAGACGATTTTAAGAAGAAACCAGACTTGTTTTTTTTTACAGTGGGTTCAAGAACGACGTCTGATACCTTCTTACCTGAATGCCTACACCAACTTAAATCTTGGGTTTTAAACAATGGCGAATTGTGAATTTATAAACACAGTGGTCCCTCGGTTGAACCCGCAGTAGCAATTGTTGCTGAATCTGGATTAACACATTGTTTCTTTTCAGAGCACTGAGGTCTGGCGCCTGAAATATTACACTTCACGTGAAGTCACGAGAATGAGTTATAATCCTAAAGGTCTCAGTTTCCACTCCGACTGAATCATGCTGGGCCTTACCACATTTCATAAACAGACCCAAGACCTTTCTGAGCATTTCTAATTGATGCTTATAACTCATTTAGAAATGAACCAGCTCCTAAACACAGGCGGAACTAGCCCATTTTGATTGCCAAATCACTTTTGAGTCATGAGTGTATATGCAAAAACGACTAAATACGCTGTATTGTGCATGCAAAGTCAGATGGCAACTAAAGAAACAATATGTGCATGTGCAGATAATGATGAAACAAACTAAAACTAAAAACAAGCACAAAAATCATGCATCTTGGATTTTGGGTGCAAAAATGCAAAGTGAAAACTGACCAAAACAACAATGGTCGACTACAGGACCATATGTGTGTATGCACCTAGTGTTTCTCTACAATATAACGTTGCCATCTACTGGCCTGGCATGCATACTACAGCATATTCAGTTTAATTCACGAATCCGTATGAGCACGCTTGTCTTCTGTTTGCACAACGTTTTCTAAAAGCTTTTTGCATTTACATGTATGCATATAACAGACGCTTTTATCCAAAGCGACTTACACCTGTAAACACAGTCACACTTTTTATGGTCACACTTTATTTTATGTTTCAATTCCCACTATTAATAAACCTTTAACTATTATTTTTGCCCCAATAAACTCCTAATATGATACTTATTAATAGTTATTAAGGTAGTAGTTGGCTTGTGGTATTAGGTAGGGTTAGGGATGTAGACTAATATTGGGCAGAATATGTGCTTTATAAATACTAAACAGCTAATATTATATTAAAAGACAGGCAAAAAGCCACTATTAATAGTGAGAATTGTTACTTAAACAAAAATGTTACCTAATATAGTTATTAGTACATATTTGTAGACACACCTTTCCATTTTTATAATAAACTTTGAGATATTTATTACATTTGACCCTGTAGACTTGCATTATAAAGGCAAAAGCTGTTTTCTTAGTAAAACACACCACTCTTAATATCATAAATCCTCTTAAAAACGTTCCCAACACACACTGGCTGGTTTCATTTAGGTAATTCTCAAGCTCATTCTTGTAACTCTAATTAAAGATTCTAGTTATACCAAAATGTGAGGCGCGAGCGTGCCAAAGTCTTTCGGGAACACGGCCTTTCCAAAAACACTCTCCATCCGTGTCATGTATTTTAAGAATTCCCTTTTGTTATAATAATCATGTCTGAATCCGTGGGTGGATACACACACACCAAAAATACCCAACAGACATAGGAAAAGTAGTCTTAAAAAACAGCCAACCCAAGTTTTTTGGGGGTCTGTGGATGTCAGGAGAATGCTGTGAGACATCAAAGTCCATGTCTGGGGATTAAAATAGCGGACGTAATCCTACTTAAACATCAGAAACTTTTCATTTCTGCAAAGTATCCAGGCCAACCTCATAAAACCCATTATGTTATAGGACAAAGTGCTTTCAATTCGCTCCAGAAAGGCAGAGAACCGACCAAAAAACCTGAGTTTACTTGATACCTTTCACACTATATATATACTGTTATTTAAATTGGATTTCTTCATGATGGTGTTGACAACTGTAAAAAATTATTCCTATATATTTCTTTTCTCATGGCTTTTTCTGAAGATGATCATAGGAAGTAGTAATAATAATGACTAATCTGCTTAAAGACTCTCTCTCTATCCATCCAACACCATCTCTCTGCTGTAATGGATCTGATTAATGTCTCGTGACTGATCATTAAAAGGCTTTTAAACTGCTGAGAGCCTGGTTAATCTGTACTTTTTGTGTACACGCGCAAGGGGAGCCTCTTTACCTGCCTCGTATTGATCACATTCCTTTTTTATTTGACTATTTAACTAGCTATTTATTGATCTTTTCGTGAACGTCTTGGTGACATGGGATGGAGCATAACAAGTGCGTCAGTATCTGGCCCTGATCTTGTGTTTTTGTGTGCTGTCCTCTGTGTATTGCGTATTTTTAATGACCTTTATCCCCTTTACTTGGTTTGTTAAGGAAAACACAAGCGTTAGCATTCATGCTAATGTGCATCAGCATTGGGCACACACTGTTTTTGTGATGAAGCGATAAACACAATCTTTTAAAGTCGTGTGTGTGTGAGCGTAACTTTAAATGTTTTAGTTGATACTAAAGGTCAGTTGTGTTGTTACTACCATGCAAAGCACTTTAAAGCGGGAGCATGTTTCTGTTTGTCACTTGAGTTTTGTGTATGAATGTATTTAAAGGGCGTCTAGCACACAGCCAGTATCTTTTGTGAATACTAGTAGGTTTAATATTTAAGTTAATGTATTTATGTTTGTGTATCGGTGTCACCAAAGACGTTATTTATCACATGCAGTGTTTTCTCACACCTCAAAAAGTAGTATATTTAGGGAAGGTGGCAGACTGTCACGCCCTACATTGTTCATTTTTGCCTGTGAAATAAAGCACTACATAGTAGTGAGATGAACTTTGATGTGTTGTTCTCTTTTAAATATGGACAGCTGTGGTTTACCGCGATGAAATGACACAGACATCACACAAAAAATTATCGAAGAGCATCAAACATTTTGGGTTTTTTGGAAACTAATTATTTTTGTTCCCACATTATATATAGAGTGGTCTTAACTAACAGTTACACTGAAATAAATGATTTGTTACAATGCACTTACTGTGGAAATACATGTTTTTACATTACTTATGACTGATTAAATACCTGCATGTCATTACAGTACATCTACAATTAATTTCTGTATTTTTTATTACACTCTTGAATCCTTACACCTTAAACCACCCTTAACCCATACCACCAAACCTGTCCCTAACTCTATATCCCACCTCAGTCACATAATGAACAAAGTAAATACTTTGTATTTACTTTTTGATGCAAGTAGATAAAAGATAAGGTCAGTTATTAATGTTTTGATGCAAGCACAATAGATAAGGCAACTTATTAATTTTTTGATGCAAGTACATAGTAGATAAGGCCACTTATTATAATTTTTTATGTTAAACATTTTATATCTCTTATGCTCACCAAGGCTTTATTTGTTTACTTATAAATGAAGTAGAATTGTTGTATTATGGTTTCTTTTATTACAATTTACAACAGAGATTTTACATTTTATTATGTTTCAAAATTAAGTTTATTTCAGTCATGGCAAAGCTGAATAAAGACATTTGATGTACTGCTCAAAAAACATTACTTATTATTAGTATCATCAATGATTTAAAACAGTTGTGCTATTTAATATTTTTATGGAAGTTTTATTAAGTCCAAATTAAATTAAATTAAATTTAATTAAATTTAATTTAATTTAATTTAATTTAATTTAATTTAATTTAATTTAATTTTAAAAAATCATTAAAAAGAATTAAATAAAATTAAATGAACTTAAAAAAATTATAAATTTAAATAAAATTTAAAAATCAAAAACAATAAAATTTAAAAAATTATAATTTAAAAATAATTAAATTAATTTTAATTAATAAAAAAATTAAATAATAAAATAAAATAAAAGTTATTTAAAAATAATACAATTAAATTAAATAACTACAATTAAATAAAATAAAAATGTTATGACCTCAAAACCTATGAATTGATTAACATGACTTAAATTATTCAAGATTACAGTCATAAAGGTAATTCCCAAAATATTTAGGCTTTTGCAATAATATAATATAATATAATATAATATAATATAATATAATATAATATAATATAATATAATATAATATAATATAAAATAATATAATATAATATAATATAATATAATTAAAAATAAATGATAATTGTATAAATCTAAATATATTTACTATTAATTTTATTATAGTTTTTTTTTTTGATCCTCCAGAAATTACATCAGAGACCCACTTTCACTTTTCACTGATTTGCTCACAATATATCTCAGGTTATCTTCATTCACCTTGTACTAGTCCACTAGTTACATAACTTATGACCATGACATACTATTAGCAAATATATCTGAGTCTATCTGCAATATCTGTCCGAGCTTATCCATTATCTTTATGAATCTAAAGAGCACGAGAACTATTCAAACATATTCCTGTAACACCAGATTCACAACCCTTATTGCACAACATCTGAATCTGTGTTAATGAACCAGTGACCATCAGACACAACAGGTTAAACATTAGACTGAAGCTACCGACAATAAAATGCACTAAAATTAGTTGTTTCTGCTCCTGTCATCAAAATTTCCATTCGTACAGGAAAAAATAGTTCCTAATTTAGCCATTAATAAGTGACCAGGCATTGCAACTAACAGCTGCGCAGACAGAAAAAGCAGGTCACAGATCAGCTGAGCATATGATGAGGTGACCATAGCCTTCAGTCGGAAAAAACAGTATTACTTACAATGATAAGACCATTTTGTTACAAATTATATGAGTCTTGAGCATATCAAAAGTCTGTGATTGCTCAAGTGTGGCCAAAAATCAGGGTCAGGAATTAACTTTTGTTTTTTCCATTAATATTACATACAATATTAACATTTGTCTGGTGCAATTATTTTAGGTACATTTCTTTACTTATTTATTTACTTTTTTAAAATTTAATTTAATTTAATTTAATTTAATTTAATTTAATTTAATTTAATTTAATTTAATTTAATTTAATTTAATTTAATTTAATTTAATTTAATTTAATTTAATTTTATTTAATTTTATTTTATTTAATTTTATTTAATTTTATTTTATTTTTTATTTTTTTATTCATTGTTTTTCATTTTGGCTTAGTCCCTTTATTAATCTGTGGTCGCCAAAACGGAATGAACCGCCAACTTATCCAGCACATGTTTTATGCAGCGGATGCCCTTCCAGCTGCAACCCATCTCTGGGAAACATCCATACACACTCATTCACACACATACACTACGGACAATTTAGCTTACCCAATTCACCTATAGCACATGTCTTTGGAATTGTGGGGGAAACTGGAGCACCCGGAGGAAACCCACGCAAAAGCAGAGAGAACATGGAAACTCCACACAGAAACGCCAACTGACCCAGTCGAGGCTCAAACCAGCGACCTTCTTGCTGTGAGGCGTCAGCACTAGCTACAGCGCCACTGCGTCACCCTTATTTTTATTTTTATTTATTTATTTTTTATATTTATTTTATTATTTTTATGATTATTATTTTATTTTATTTAGCAAAATCACCTTACTGAATGTGCATCAGTCATACTTTCCACCCCTGATGGTAATTTCAAGCCAAGATTACATCATTCCTGACACGTGACTTACGTTCAGACAGATCTATTTCTGTTTCATGTCACAGGTTCTCTTAAAAAACGGCCAATTACAGTTTTAACTGTAAATTCCAGGAGCAATTCACAGTAAATGAAGGTTCAAGGTTACAGAGAAATCTGACCTCCTTTAACCTTACAGTGATTCACAACTGAACTG